AGACTGTTATAAGGCATCCAACATATAATAATCTGGCTCATATAAAATTAGGTTTGGCAACTAAAGAGGCCAAATTTTTGCGTTCCAAAAGTACCACAGAAACTTTGCCATGGAATAAAGTGGATTAAGGGAAGTAAACTTTAAAAAGCAGTTGGAATCAGGAAAATTACTTACATTGAAGGAGCTCGAGACATTTAGTGTTGAAGAATGGATATTTCTCTCCCTTGGTCCCTTTCCAGCTAATTGTGGCACATAATTCTGGGGTGAAGAGTTTATCCAAGGAAATGTAAACACAGTTACGTTCATTGTCTGCATACTTCACATTTCCAAATAGATGGTTTACCTTTAAAACAAACATCATATTTAGATTAAATTCAAGTAAAATATCATTCAACAGAAGGTAAAATGACCTACAAACCAGAGCATCAAAATTCTCATCATCCCTCAAATATTCTTCCATCTGCTGGAATTCATCATGATCTTTCAAAGGAATATTTGGCATGCCAGCTGGTTTCCGAACAACCTCCTCAGGAAACATCTTGCCTAGAATTCTGCGGAGCATTCCTTGCACTTGGTCCAACTTAAAGGAATGCTCTTGCATTACATTTAAAGCTGTAGTGAACTTTCTCTTCTTGATTCTCATAGCTGCAATGAAAAGAAGTAGTTTGAATACTTGAATTCCAAGGACAGATCTGCCCATTTATAATGTTGCCTTACATTTCTTTTTTTTGGATTTAAGCACTTTGTGATTTTCAGCAGAACCGCTTTCCTTCAATGTTTTTTTCTCTATGCTTCCAAAACTGTTTGAAGAGCCACTTTGATTTGGAGTTGGAGAGGCAAGAACAAGTTGACACATTGGGGTGGTGTCCACGTTCACTGACGGAATACTGCCACCACCTTTAAAATACATACACACAATATAAAACACATTTAATACTCAACAACAAACTTTCAAAACCACAAAAGCAATGTAGCCAGAAAAAAACTGGTAGAATTTACTCACTTATTACGGCAACAATTTCTGACTGTCCTGCTGAACTTGGATCAGGAGTAGCACTTCCAACTGAAATAACAAACATATTCAAAAAACAGGATGG